GGAGGACTTTGAGCCTGATTGGTTGTGTGGTGGTGCTGAGGTGCAGTATTTTCTTAAGAAAAGAGTAGAATCAGGCAAACCTGTTGTTCACAGCATTTCAACTATCGAATAAGCTTTGGAAGACCTATCTTTGTGTTTAATGTGCTTCTGAACCCCCATAATATTTGGGTATTTGTCAGGATAATCCAGAGAAAACAGCTGCCTCTGTGCGTGGAGATTTTTATGTCACTGGGGACAGAGGGATTATGGATGAAGAGGGATACATCTGGTTTGTTGGGAGAGATGATGATATCATTAATTCTGCTGGGTAAGTCAGGTGCTTTTAGATGTGATCATTTGCCTGTTCAAATGCAACCTGGAAAGACCAATGGACTGGCCCATCTTGCTGCAGCTGACAGATCTTCCCTCTCCCTCAGGTATCGGATTGGCCCCTTTGAAGTGGAAAGTGCTTTAATTGAACACCCAGCAGTGGCAGAGTCAGCTGTGGTCAGCAGCCCTGATCCAGATCGAGGGGAGGTAAAAAGGAAAAGAAAAAACATGTGGAGAGAAATGCTCTTTAGGCATCACTTGCCTATACATCCTAGGCTTCCTAGGAATTCAATATGTTAAGGATTTTTCAAATGAAACGGGCTAACACCAGTTTTTTAAATCCATAACTTGGCCAATTTGGGAATTTCAGAATTACTTCTTTGTTTGCAGGGTTTATGTGGGGGAAAAAAAGTTTGGCTTTTCAGACTTATTTTGGCATCTTTTTCTCTAAGTAGTGGAATTTGGATTATTCCTCTTTTGTCACTAAGCACATGGTAGCCATGATATCCAGAGTGTTTATTTTTATTTTATGTTTTTCAACGTTGCAACATTTGTTTGAGCAACTGGGATGAAATTTTCAGCCTGAGTGATATATAAAATTAAGGAAAAACAAAAAGTGGAAAAATTTTAAAAATCCTCTGCTGTAGAATGGAGCCTTCATAACACACCATTCTGTCCCAAAGAGACAATGAAAGGGAAATTAAAGAAAATACTCAAATTT